TAATTGTAATGAGAATAGCTTATAAACATTTAAGTACACTTCAATAAAATTATTGTCTCAAATGAAATACAAAGGTCAAATACTTTTTTTTGTAACTTATTTTCAAACGATCATTAATGTGAATAATATCTATAGATTTCTAGACGGGCATTTTTTTTTTAGATATTCCCAAAAGTTTTACCTATTTCATAATTTGATATATATATTTTGAGACGTAGTGTATATTTATTTATTTTTTTTTTTATTTTTTTGGTTCTATTTCACCAAACAACATCTTCTCAAACAGTACACAAAGGGTAATGACTATATAACCAACGGGGGTATGGTCATCAACTATTATTTGTGATACTGACATTATACTGCTTTTATTTTGGTATAGAGATATTTATACGAACTTATGTTAAATATATGTTTGTTATTTTTAACTGAGGTCAACATAAAAGAGAAAAACGAAATGTTAATATTATTTATTTATTTATTTATTTTTATTTTAATAATATGACCGAAACATAATTAAGTCAAATATTATTGGCATCTATAAAATATAAAAATTTTGATTTTTGAATCACCGACGCACGTTAACACTATTCAATAATTAACAGAATTCACCAACATATTTTTGTGTATGATAATTATTTATTATTATTTATGATTTTCATGATTATTTTTTTTTTCATTTTTCAAATAATCAGTTGATACATTTGAATATAAATTTATAATTTATTAAGTAACAGAATAAGTTACGAAATATTATTTTTTAACTAAGGACGAATGCATTTTTAATTGATTTATGTCAAGAACAACAAACACTTTTACTTGAAGATTAATGAAAATTTGATTTTTTTTTTTTAGTCTATGCCAAATTTATTGACGAATCTAAATTAATAATAATCATAAGTGTATGAAATTCTAACTTAAACAAAATGATCAAATACCAACTATTAAATCATACGTGATAGACCGTAAGTCAATCGTTGTTCTCAATGTCCATAAATAACAAATTTAATACCTACTTGATGCATCAAACACGTGATCTGTTCCGCCTTCCACTTAAATATAATAACTAGGGTGCGGATTTTTTGTAATAAAAAAATCAAAATATGTAAATATTTATGTTCTTATTTTTGCTAAAATATGTATTAAAAAACGTAAAATATTTAACAAAAAAAATTGGTATTTTCCATTAATTTTTAATTATTAATTTAATCATCTTCAATGTTGTCTTCTTCGAAACGATTGGATAAGACGTACATTTAAAGATTTTCAAATTTTAATGTACGGCGGTTAATTTAAAAGTCAACTCGTAGCGGCTGAGGCTGTATTCAACGTCAACCGAGGTTAATGGAACATATTTCATACCACATACATCGAATGGTGTTACTTCAATATAATTTGACATATTTTCATTTATATTAATAAGATTATATCAAATAATTTTAATTTTTTTGTAAATCAACGTATTACACAGTACGTAGTTTAATTAATTTTTTTTATAACTCCAGATTCTACTTGAACTTAATTTCATTAAATTTCTGCATTTTCCACTATCGCGAGACTCTCAACTATTGTTAGATTCAATGTTTCTAATATTTTATTATTTTAACTAAGAAAAAATTTTTTTTGGAAATATTTGCTAAATTATTTTGCAAGTTATTAATTTATATATCAGAAGTAATAGCAGTTGTAGTATCTGATTTAAGATTTAAAATATCTTCTTTCATTTAATTCCAATATAATAATTGTAAATTAAATAAAAAGTGTATTGAAATGGTATGAAAATTTGAAATATTTACAAAATATGTAAATATTAATTAAATATTTAAAAATATGTAAATATTAATTAAATATTTAAAAATATGTACTTACATCAAAATATGTGAAAATATGTAAAATAAAAAAGGTCTCATATTATTCAGGGTGTTATGAAACGTGCTTATTTTTTAATTAGAATTGAGAAATTCACATTCAATAAATATATGTAATTACATAAAAATCTGCGCCCTAATAATAACTGTTATCATATAAAATATATTCTTACCTCATTATCGTTGTATGTGGGTGAAATTTGCAATGAAGTAAAAATCAGTCTGGATTACGATGTTTACAACCAGTATTTCGGTTCTTCAACTAATATTTTGAAAAATATTAGACATACACTATCGAGTTAAACAATAATATAATTTTAAATGTGCATAATTCGTACATTTTAATTTCAGTGGGTACAACTGCTTAATAACGTTTACCTACATAAAAATAAGTTTATAAAAATAATACATTTTTAAACGACTATCTACTTCAAAGAATTTGGTTAAAAATAACTCAATAAGCTTAGTGTTATGAAAAATGTTTAATATATTTATCATTATACAGGGTGATTTTTTTATCGTGAACTAGTTAATATCTCGGGAAGTATTAAGAATTTTAAAATATTTTTTTTTTAACTTTCTGGGTTTTATTATTTTACACTGTGTTACAATTTTAATAATTTTAACTTCCTCCCTTACTTGATAAAACACTATCATCTTTCGATTTTCAAATAGCAATACCTATTTTCGATAACGAAAATTTTTAAACATATTGAAAAAAATAATTTTAACTTTTACAGAATATAAACACGTACGTGTAGACCGTGTTTTGGTTTAAAATCTAAAACTAAAGGCTTCGTTAATTATGTAAAATAACGATTGGTAAAAAATACACATAATTATTATTTTAGACTTATTCTGAACACTTACAGTATCAAGGGCGTATTTGAGTATAGGCCATGGGGAGGGGAACTATTATTTTTCAATACAAACTTTAAAATAATTTACAATTCATTATAGGGTCGTACCCATGTTGGGGGTGGGGGGTTCGGATCAGGACCCCCCATTGAAATTTCTACATACTCAATGATTTAATACTAAATAGTTTATAGTGTATTTTAATTTCTCATTATCTTCAAAGTTTATAGATTATATAATATACCTATAATGTATAAACCATGTTTAATTTATACTGATTTTTTAATATTATTTATTATTGTTAGTTAAATAATGTATTTTTTTATAACATTTTAGTACCAAATAAAAATTGATTTCAAATTATAGTACCTACCTATTATATTTAGTAAACCTTGGTGAAGAATATGTGTGATATGTGTATAACAATTGTGACTATTACTATAGTTATTAACAGTAATTTATTGGTATTGAATTAAACTACAATTATAATTAGAAAAACAGATAAAATCAAAATTTTGGACCTCTATCCTCTAAAAAATTCCTGGGTACGCCTCTGGTTCATTACCTACAACTCATGTTCCTGTTGTTCATTCAAATGAATAAATAAAAATAAAGGTACAAAATTGAATTAAATATTAATAAATATATTTAAAACCTACTCTATTTAAAATAAGTATTAATAATAAAAACACAAATAGTTCTTATATTAAAATTGTACCTTCAGTCTGAATCCTGTATAAAAAAACAACAAATTATCACAGTAGTAATAGTACCTATTAATTATTTTTATAAAACTTTAAAAAAACAATTAAGATAGGTAATTTAATTTAACAAATATCTAAGTAGAAAACATAAGGTTGGTAAGTAGTCAAGTAACAAATTCTAAAATTCTTTTTTTCATTTTGACAAATTTGTTGATTATTTCATCAATGGTTACAATAATATTTTTAAGCACATGCAACAAAGCTAAACCTGTTAGTCTATGCTGGCCTATTCTTGATCTTAACCATGTTTTCAATTTACAAAAATATATTATAATATTATAATATATTATATATTAATTAAATTATTATATATTATAATATATTTTAGTTAATATTTGCAAGTTAAAGAATATAAAAACAAATATTTTCAGTTATTATGATTATTATTTGGGTTAGGGGCTTCTAGTTCTATAAAATACATAAATATGCATATATTTGTGCACAAAAAAATTACTAAATACCTATGCACAACAAAAAGTACTAGATATTATGTTGTAAAAAAAAAAATTAGACGAATAAAATTATTAAGGACTTATATAACTCTAATAAATATAAAAATACACAATATACATAAATGCACCAAAAAAAATGAGTAACTAGTAAATATGTGGTAAAAAAAAGTGTTTAAATTACTTTACATTATCTTATAATACCTCGGTTATGGTTATAAATGTCTATTACCGTAGCAATATCCGTGGAAGATAATACCACTATTTGTTCCACAACCAAAAATGTTATGATATAAGAAGATAAACAAAATTTAATACCTGTGACCTAATTAATATATTATATTATTGAATGTATTATCATACTATAATGATAGACTAGTAATTTATATTCTTAATTATTTATACATTACATTTTTCAAATAAATCAATGTATTATATTCAAAAAAATTATGAGACATGGGGGTGAATGCCCCCTTCGCCACCCTTCAAATACGCCCTTGTGCAGTATTACTTACAAAAAACTAAAATTTAAAAAATGTGTATGGACATATATTCTTAACTGTAGTTATTCAATTTTTTTATACACATTATTCACATTAGGGTATGCCAAGGCACACCCCGTATAGCCGCCTATGAATACGTTTGTATTTATTTAATATAATTTATATTTCTATATTAGATTGATGAGTTATAACTAGTAAATTAAAAAGTAAATATTTTTTTAAAACAATATGGTGTATTTTAATTATTATAGTAAATGATTATATTAAACAGATAACATTTTTTCATTTTAAAACAAAGTAAACCAACAATTCCTTTGTATTTAGAAAAATAATTCATAAATATGCAGATATAAATGTATATGACATGGTATATACTTGAATTCGGGGTATAGAGCTAAAACTAAAGTAGTTAAAGGTCTATTCACACATTTTTAAAATGCTCCTTTCATTTAATGTTTTCTTTTTATTTAAAATAAATAATTACAAATCAATCTATGTATACTATCCGATTACCGTTGTCCGTCGCAAATCAATAAATCCAACTTTACGCAACTTTTGCAGACGACGATTTTCGAGCGAGCGTCCTGTCACACCGCGCGGCTTACAACAACGGGGCGGCAGCCAGCACGTCGTCGCCAGCGTCCGAGTCCAAGACCGTGTGCAATTACTCGGCCAGGGAGTTGCAACTGATCCTGCAAGAAGTGCGGCACATCACGGACTACATGCGAAAGCAGGAAGAGGACCAAGAAGTGATAAACGACTGGAAGTACGCGGCGATGGTCGTGGACAGGTTCTGTCTGATTGTGTTCACGTTTTTCACGCTGGTTGCCACCGTCGCCGTGTTGTACTCGGCGCCGCACATAATCGTCGAGTGACCGCCGGAGACGTCATTGTGTTCACTTCAATCCTTGGACGACGTCGACGCGACCATCATCGTTTTATTAGATGTTTATTTCTGAAAATATTTAGTTATTTTGCAGTATTTTAAGTATAATAAAGGTTTTTCTTTTTTTTGTAATACTGGGGAAGTAAAAGAAAATTTCCGAAGAGCTTAATTGTAATAATAATCACAAAAGAAAAATAAATAAAACAAATATGTCTATAATACACAACGCATTTACAGGGTGTAAAACATCACGAGATAACGTTATTAAGTTATTTTAAATAGTTAAATTGCAGTGTTTTAATTTTAATTATCTACTGCTAAAACACCCTGTTTTTTAAAAAAATATTATTACATATTATTTTATTGAATATTCCAAATATTATCGGAATAGTTAAGATATTTTATTAATATTATTATAATTAAATTTAATAATATTTTATAAAAAGTATCAGAATTTTTTTATTTTTATTAAATCAATGTAAAAATAATTACTACCTACTGCCTATAATGATTTTTAAATTAAATAATACAATTCATAATTTGAAATTATGATGATTATTTTAACAATTATATATACATGTATGTATATATATATTTATACATAAATGGTTTATTATTATTATTATTATTATTATTAGTGTTATTGTTATTAATTTATTATCAAAATTTACGAGAGGGTTCGAATATTAAATTATTATTTAAAAAGCAATTTATTCTTGTTTCATAGTTGGTTTTAAAATTTATATTTTAATCCTTGTGTTTCTTTTAAATTAAAATGTTCATAGTGTTGTATTAATTTTAGAAAATTGTTGGATACTAATGGTTGGTAAATATTAACAAACAATACATGATCTCAGGTAATTATAAAATACCTTACATGTTAAATAGCCATCACATTTTTTAATTGACCTCTAATTTTAATTTTAGTTTATTGATGATTATAATTTTATTCTATATCACAAGAGATTACTTGAACCTAAATATATATATGTAATTACTTAACAAATTATATTATTAATAATTTTTTTTTAAGTTGAATGTATTGCTCGTACAATAATAATAATAATAACTTAAGAAAAAAGGGAATTACCTAACGTTAATAACCTAAAACAATTTAAAATAATCGTTAAACTATTAATTTGAACTTATCTGGTTTTAATAAATATAAAAATATTCATTAGTTATATCCAATCGTCGATGAATCTTTGGTTGATTAAATAGTGAATAAATTAATGCAATAAAATACATAAATCTATTAATTTTATAACTAAAGTATTATCTATTAGATATGCATTGTAAAAATTTAAAATATTACACATTGGAGTTAGAAGAAATAAGATATTACGAACAAATGTTTAAGAGAAATATCACCATGTTAGCTTCCTAAGATAGGCAATGTCTACAGATTCAACTATAAATTAAAACAATACATTATTGTAAAATATAATATAAATCGCTTGAGAATCATTTTTTTTTTTTCAAATAAACTATTATACATTTTATTTTAGTTTAATAAATTAATGTAATTCATTGGGTGCATTAAAAATACATTTCATTTTGTTATACAACTATTTTATAAGTTTAAAAAAGAAATTTTCATAATCTAGTTAATATTTTTAAACTATACTTATTGAAAAAAAAATTAATCAGTATTACAGATTTTTCCTTTCATGAACTTTTCTATGAAATTTGATAGTCTTATTGTTGCCATAATAATTGTTTTATATTTAAATAATTTACTTCTGAATACTGTTAACACTTTTATTGTGTTATGTTTTCAAACGAATGATATAAAATGACGAAAAAAAATTAATTATTAAAATATAATAGTTTCTGGAGACTGAACTCAATTGTAATGACAACCATAAATCTATATATAACTACAATTTTTCAACGAAACATTTAAATAATTTATTGTATTCGATTAATAAATATTGTAATGTATGGAGAAATTCGTATACGATAAGTATTACAATTACTTTACAGTAATATATTGCAAATTTCGTAGTTAAATATTCTTATTAATATGCCATTCATTCGTTTCAAGTTCATGTATTAACAAAATAGCAGTGTAATGTATTTTTGTATATGAAAATACAATTTTAAACCTAACAGTTAAATTGTCATAAAATCATATTTGATACATGAAAATTATAATTTATTAAAAATTATAGTAATGTTTTTGATTAAAGTTTTCACTGTGATAAATTATAAATTAAATAAACCAATGTCATTATTTCTAATAATTTAGAAAATTAAATAAAAACAAAATATTTTTCTGGAAAAGTTCTTGACTAGATATTAAATGCCAGTTAGTATCTTGATTGCTAAGCTTGGACCCGGACGTAAATCGTTCAACTCTCTTAAATAATTTTTAAAAAGTATAAAGTTCTACTTAAGTTTCCGTAAATATAATTCTTTTTTACATTTTTTTTTTTCTATTTATTAATAATAAGTCAAAAATAATTAATTTTAAAATAATAAACGTGCTACAGTAATTTCATATAATATTCCGTTTATTCAAATTTAAATTAGACATGTATAATTATATAAACAATTAATATTTATAATGAATTTAAAAAAACAAAATTAGGATTGTCTTAATACACGTAAAACACAAATACGTGCGAATGTTTTTTTGTATTTTTTATACCAATAGATCTTATCCAAACCGATGTTAGAACGTAGCAAAGATTGTTTAAAATGCAATATAATTTATCATTTTAATTTTACTATATAAAAACTAACTATTAGTGGCTTATAAAATTACAAATGATAAACATTTTAAAAATTTCTTATAAGTATTCTTACAAAGTACCGAACAAATTTTTTTACAAATAAATTAAAAAAATATTATAATTCATAGTAATGTATTGATAAATCAATGTTGTCAATTATTTTAAGAAAAAAAAATAGTTATTTTATTTTTAAATCTTCTTCTAGTCATTAAAATAAATTGATTAATATGTTAGATTACGTTAATCTTAGAATATTTTTTTATTTTTAACGTTTATTGAACATTCAATCGATAATTTTTTTTTTTTTTATTAAAATTCATATGACATACAATCAGTTGTATGTAATGTGCCGTGTTTAAACATGAATCCAAATATTATTAAATTACATAATTTTCACCAGGATATAGATTTTCTTTAAATCTATGAACTTAGTAAAATGTTAAAATAAAATGATAAACGTATCGGAATTCAGTCATAAAATTGTATTTTAAAAAACGTACTTTCTGTTTTTGAGATGGTATATTAATTTATAATACAATAAAATAGTTCAATTTTCACACTGTATAGTATTTTACTTAAATAATAAAAAAGGAAAAAATTATAAATTATTGTATTTTTAAAAACGCTAAGTAAATATGTTCACCATAGTATTATACATTAATTTTACTTGTCAAAAATGTATACTAAAACAGTAACTACTATTTCGATAGTAATAATAAATATTATGTCATTAGGTGGTATCAATATAAATCGTAGACGTTAAATATTAGATTTGTCTATATACTGTTTCTATAGTCTTAATTCTATATAATATTTAATTATTAATTATGTTTATGTAAGCATAAAGGGACACAGCATTTCAGAATAACCTGAATGACCAGTTACTAAAATAATATAAAACCATGAATTAGTACAAATAATTTGAATGCATTTTTAAAAATTATAACCAAAAGCACCATTTAGATTTATAAAATTATACATATAGAACTGAATAAATTCGTGTAAATGTTACTACTAATTTAGTTACTATAGAAACGTTTTGGTTCTAAGTGAAATCTTTAACGTTTTGGTTATAGATAAACATAATACAATTTCAAAATTTTAATATTTTTGTTAAAAACCAATAATTTTTTTGCTACATAATATGTCCAAAAATTATTTTCAATGTCCAAAAAATATGTTGTGATGATGGTCATTAAATTATTCTATATTAATATAGGTTTAAGGTATCCAAGGAAAATTACTTTTAGACGATCTTTTTCAAATGTCATCAATATTATATAATATTATTATTGATTAATTAGATTGTGACTTACAATAACTGTAGGTTTAATATTTATAATTGAAGTAATTTATTATTTTAGAGAAACTAGTGAATTGGTTTGAAATAAAATTTTCTTTGTTAAAATTTGTTGCTCATAATATATGTAAAACCTAACTGTAATACGCCATATAAGGCGTGTAAAAACAAAATATTTAATAACAACTGTGTACAAAGAATAATTAAGAAGTAAATCGTTAAATATGTTTTTATATATTAAAAAAAAAAAAAAAAATGATGTGTATAAATAAAAAAAAAAGATAATTTTAAACAATAATATTTGTATATCTAAAGCCTCAAAGAGTGAGGTTGTTATTTCTTATGTATGTTTTTTTTATTCACATTGTATGTACTATAATAATATTGTATTCTATTATTATGTAACATGACTATAACCAGTTAAAATACATTACGACGTGTAGACAATGTAACTATGTTCTGTGTTTGATTATAATCAAAATGTAACGTCAACCGTTTGCGTTGTCTGTTCGAATTCTTGTGGTTAAGGAGTATGCGCCTCAGCGGAAAACCCACTTACCGGCTAGCAATCATCACCATCTGTGAGTTTTATTAGCATGTGACATACCAACGTCGTATTGTGTTATTAGAATGTACATAATTCGCCTAAATGATAATGTACCTATTACGCTTATGGAATCTCATTACGAAAAGGACAAATCAATTTTAACTTGCTACTAAATCTTGTTAGATCGCAATCAGTATCAAATATTGCAATCCTTGGAACCAAATATTAAGTTTTAGTTGAGATAATTAATGAAGATCTAGAATATCAAGTGATCCATGTCTTATGTACGATCAAATAGTTACATAACAATGGTACACTTAAATTGTTAAATAAGGTTGTTGGCACAAGAGCACGTGACCAACTAATTTGAAAAACTTATGCAGCTTGTAAGTATTTACAACATACAAATAAGAAAACATTCATTGCTTCCAAATCATATGAAACAAAATAAATTTATTTTCAATGAGTTATTTAAATATACATTAATAATCAAAGTATTCAAAAGTTACATATATAATTAATTAGAAAAGAAGGCTGCACTATTTATTCTACATTTTTTTCAGTTTAAAATAACTTAAAATTAGACTAGATAAAATAATATTACACATATAATAATATGTTATGTTATTATATTATATATGTATATATATATTATATTCATGGTACTTATAATGGTTTGAAATATTTTTCCAATAATGATTTACTCTTATAGTCGTTATTTTATTATAGTGATATTTT